CACAATGCGTGTATGTGTGGGTGGGTTCTTTATACATATATTACACCGTGGGGACCAAATATCCCCACAATATGATAAATACGTGCTATTTTGTCCTTGTGGGGACATTTTTTGGTCCACAGAAGGAGAAACTCAATTTTTGAAATATCTGTGATTGCAATAAAAAACTAAAATAGCCATAAGTTTTTGTATTTTGGTTAATTATTGCTGAGGTTAGGACTAGGTGGGGTGAAGGTTGTCATAGCTGGGATTGGGGTTTTATATGTGCATACAAACATATGTGTGTGTGTGTGTGTGTGTGTGTGTCCACCCTATTATGGACTAGCATCCCATCTATGATGTATCCCAGCCTTGTACTCTGTGCTGCCTAGGAATAGGATGGATGGATGGATGGATGGATATACTTTTGTTACTTTGAGTTGAAATTATGAGTCCCAAGCGGATATATTTTTCATAAATTCAAATTGCCTTTCAAAAGCAGGATCAAACAAGGAAATACAGTCTGATAAATTTAATTTGATGACTTGGCATGTTACACACATAATTTATATATAGTTAAATGCCACCAATCAATCTTCATGATTCATTTAGCTGATCCTGTTGCATACCCTGACTTCTAACCTACCAATTAACTGCAGTACCATGACGAGTGACTCTGATATAAACACACCAATGTTCTGCCTCAGCAGAAGATGACAGTAGAGGAGAAGGACTTACAAGGCACAGCATGGCGATACAGGTTGTCTCTGATGGTCTGCTGAAGAGCGTGGTCTGGGGACATTTTATGAAAGCTCAGGCTCAGATAGTGTTTCAGATCCTTATTTAACTTGTTTCCTGCAGGAACAAATGAGAAGACGTACTGGTGATGTTACAAAGAAACAACAAATCAGCCAACATTTTGGTAGACCCAAAACACTTTAGTTCAGTTTTGTGTTTTTTCTTCTTTTTTTTTTTTTTACATACTGAACTAAGAAATAATACCAAGATTTACTCTCACTTAGAGGGAAAAGAGAATATTTGAACTAGCATATTTCAAATGTGAATTTTTAGAGGCAGTCCAGTTTTCTCCCACAGTCCAAAAACATGCAGTTACATGAACTGCTGTCACAGAAACTCCCGTTGTGTGTTGCTGTGCATCTTTCCAAGACTCTGTACACTGCACTTCTTGGGATGGGATCCAGGCACATTAGTGGTATGGGAAAATTATAGGTATTAATACCCGAGTAAAATACAAATTCAATTTCAATATATAGTTTCAATTTACACTTAGTGGCTACCTTATTAAGATCACGAGTACCAGGAAGGACCTACTTTTGCCTGAAAAGTCCCGTCAGTGGTAGATGAGTTGTGCCTTCAGAGGAGCCCGACTGCACATAACCGGTGTATTGAGTTGTGATATTTTACCTTGCGGCTTTCCTGTTAACGAGTCTGGCCGTTATCCTTTAACCCCTCTCATTAACAAGGTGTTTTCACCCACAGAACTGCTACTGACCGGATGATTTTTTGTTTATTGCATCACTCTCTGTAAACTCCAGACACTGTGCCGTGGGAGAATCCCAGGAAAGTGGCTATTTCTGAGATTCTGGAACCACTGTCTGTCACCAACAGTCACACCACATTCAGAATCACTTTCTGATGCTTAGCCACATTGAACCTCTTGACCTTGTTGCAGGGACATGTTATGCTGTTTGGCTGGAGCAGCTGTGTACACGTATTAACAAGCAAGTATACCTAATAAACTGCATGCTGAGTGTATGTGACAACGCCATCTCTTCAAACAAGTTCGTCGCAGTTAAATGCTCGTTACATGAAAGAGAACTGATGCAGAACTAGATAAGAATCTGTTAACAATGCTCTCAAATATCCACCGCCTTCATTTCACATCAGTTACCGCTTCAACGGGGCTGAATGACTTAAAAATAGAGACTGGTGTCTGGTCAACTCCAGCCACCCATGGAATTCTGAGACTTCAATCGCAGAAGCAGGAAACATCCTTAACAGCCTATTTCCTTCCAGTACTGCTCCGCTTGTGTGTGTAACGGTGCAAAACCAATCCCTGAAAACCCGGGGCCACAATGCTGCATATATCCTGAGTGAGATGTCTTCCGTAAAAAGCCTCTGAGATCCATGGATACACAGGAATTTTAGGAAGAGCGCAGCGTAACTGGAGCAAACTCAGATGAGTCCAGGGAAAATGCACACTGCTCTGTGGCCAAATTTTGAATGGAATTCTGGAATTGCAAGTCAATAATTTTAAATATAGGATGCCAGTCCATCGCAGGGTACACACACATACACACACACACACTTCCAAAAAATATGGGCATTATACAGAAACACTCGTTCATCTAACTGTACGCAGAAACGGCAGTACTTGGAGGAAATTCATGCAACACAGGGAGAACATGCAAAGACTGCACAAAGAAAGCAGAGTTGGGGCTAAACTAGGCTTGGGTGGTATCTGTTTTTTCATACTGTCACACCTTCTAGACATTTCACCCCAATAAATGTATATGACTATATTAAAAAATAATAATAATAATAAAAAAACATAAATCATGTAGGCTACTGTAAACTCCAGAATCAGAGAAAGCGCTGGGGAAACAAGGAGACATTTAAAAAAGTTAAAAACACTATCCTTCATTTATTGACACCACTCCACTTCGTTGTCACAGAACCCACCACGTAACCACCCCGTAGGGTGTATGGGAAACATAGTTATCCAATCTACTGACAGTAGCGCGAATGCATTCATACATCATAAGAACTTGGACAAAATCACTGAGAATTATATTAAATATTAGTCCTGCATGAAAATGGTCACCACAAGCAAATTATTTCTGCTGGCTAAGTTCTAATAAATTGCAATAAATCAATTTCATATTATTGTATATTAGTGTATTGAAAAAGTTGCATAATGTTCACAAATATTCTCAAGGTACAATAAAAATGGAACGAACAAACTGACTGGCTCCCCTTTATCACTGGGAAGAAATCCAAAATGCTCTCAAACAGGGGCGGAAACATTTTTCTTTTTTGCTCATCATGTCGTACTGCTACCACTGGCAGTCGTCTTCCTCACCAGTAGATTGACCTCTGGTGGTATGTCCTGTGCACTACAATACGTCTCCTCAATACAGCATCTGCATATTGATTTAACAGAAAGAAGTGTGTATTTTTGATGGTATTAAAGATTATACCTTCCGAATTTCTAAATACCGGGGTATACCGGGATATACCGTAATACCATCATACCGGCCAAGCCTAGGTTAAACCCCCAACTCTACCACGTGAAGTTGCCCCCATTTCAGATTTTAACCAAACCGGTCTTGATTGTTTTTGCCTTTTGTGTGAAATTTGGTGCTGCTTTTGTGCTGCTTTTGTTTCTGAGATACATATGTTTGTCTACATGGCAACATCGCCACCATGAAGTTGACCCCCCCCCCCCACCCCTTCCGTGTCCAATTCGAATCAAACCAGTTTCTGTCATTTGTGCTGTTTGTATTGAATTTCTGCCGTTGAAATTTTCATTTATGCTGCTTTAGTTTCTGAAAACACTGTAGCACGTCATAAAGAAAGACAGTATGGTTTGCTGTGAAATGGCAGGATGAATGGATTGGGCAATGCCAGAAAATTCAACACGGCACATGCATGCTTGAAAATGCAGGCACATGTGCAAACATGAAGTACAAATTGGGCAAGGGGTACAGATCAAGTAGTGACACTACCTGCCTGATTTCAACCTCTCACCAAACCATATTTTACTACATATACAAATAAATAAAATCAATTTAATGATACATTATCAAGCCATTTCATATGTAAAAATGTGTTGAATAAAACATAAAAAATCACAATCTCCCAGTCCTACTTTAAGTGTATGCTTTCTAGTGAAGAAAATCAACAACTCAGTGGTGAAACTTTTTCCTCCAAATAATAAGTCAAAAGAGCATAAGAGGCTCATAAAGGAGGTATTTTTTCTACTTGAGAGATCATTTCTGATAGCCCATTGGGCAGGATGTGGTTACATTTTGGTAACAATGAGTTGGGAAAACTTGATTGTCCTGCAGTGTTGGTCTAGTGATTCTGTGAGTCTGGACAAAGTCATGTCCACTGGTCTGAGTCTGTGTGCTTGAGAAAAACTCAGATATAACTTTTGGTTTTAAAAAAAACTCTAATATTATTCAGGCTTCTATTAATAAAGTTTTGCATAAAATAATCTGTAATTTTTTTAATGACACTCAAGTTACCCAGACACAGGACTGCAAGCTCTACCCCATCCCCCCATCTCGAGGTCAGCAGTCCAATAATTAAATGGAAACGTAAATAATTAATCCCAAAAATATATCTGTCCATTTTAATTGAGTGAGCCTTTTCTCACTATTACTATTTAATTAAAAAGGTCCATTAAAAAGATTTACACTGATAATGCAGACAGAACTGAAAAAAATTTGAAGTTCTATTTTCTGCATAAAAGGCAAAACAACAGATTCATCAACAGAGTGCACTACCAGTCAAAGGACTCACAGAAAGCATTTTCGTAAACCTGATTATTGAAAAGAACTGGATGACATGACACTGACATCTCCAGATACACATGGTTTCTCTAAGCCTACTTGAAGTTCACCAAACATAGAAATGCATAACCTAGCACAAATCAGTCTAATGATGTCAATTATGTTGCTACTTATTAAACAAGCACTATTTTGTTTTAACATTTTACGTAAGTTCAATATTTATATACATCAACACACTTAAGCAGAATGACAATAGTTCCTGTCTTAACTGGAAAAAAACTACTAATTTTAACTACTTATCACAACTTGATTATAAATTCTATAAAATTAACATCTCCATCCCAAGCATCTTCCAACCCCCAGGAGCTCAGCCAAGGCACAAGGCAAGAGAAGACCCTTGATGTGATGACTGTCCGTAATAGTGATAACACCCACCTACACTGCACAAGAAGAACATGCAAACTCCACAAACAGACAGAGAGGGTGAGATTCAAGCCCCCAACCCTACAAGCCACCCAGAATTACAACATCTAAGACAAAATACCAGGCAGATGCATCGTTAGTTTCCATGCAGAAAAAAAACAGATAAACACAGGGAAGAAAAAAACAGGTGTCAGGACTCAGTGACTGTGTAGCCTGTGAATTTACAATCATCAGTATGCCGCGTGGAGAAAACACTGTAGGTGATGTATCACTGCTTTGTAAATGAATGCTGATTTGATGTGCGAGGATCAGTCTTTGAATGAATCAGATTCCGTGCTCCCAGAAAACCGTGTAGATTCTGGGTCTTGTGAGAGTTAGGAAGATTCGTTATACATGCCGATTTTAAAAAGTAACAAGACCCCACATCCCACCTCTTGATAATTCCAAATGTTAAAGATCTTACATACTGTAAAAGTGAAACAATGCCGACAGAAATGCATAAAAGTCCTTGTTGATAAACTGAAGCCTGCCGCGGGCCTTCTGAGTTACTGAATTTTGCAAAATATGAGCAGTTCTGATATTGCAGTTGCTGATCCAGCAAGGAGTAACGTCTGGGGTCCAGCTGTGATGGTGACTATATTCATGCTGTATTTGTAACCTGTTGTAATATGTTTCCCTCAGTTGGGGGGGGGGGGGGGGGGTTGATGGATTACTGTCATTAAGTGCTCCTTCTAAAGCTCTGATAGAACAGTCCTGCTGGATCTGTCCAGGAGGTTTGTGGGAATGGTTGTAAATCAATGCTTTGTTTATTATTGAGCTCCTTCATTCGCTACCCTATCCAAAAGTGAAGACAAGAGCCGATTACAAGCATTTTGGCATTTCAGGGTTAATTTT